GAGTAGAGGGGAGGGGAGAAGAGAATGAAGGGGAGGGGAGAGTGGAGGGGAGGGGAGAGTGGAAGGAAGGGGAGAAGGGTGGGGAGGGAGGGAATGGCCAATGTACAACTGGACTAGGAGAATTTACTCTGACAGCTAAAGGCGACTCTTCAGGAGCTTCAGATGGGAAAACAAGGATGCTTCACACACAGAGAAGCAAGGGTAAGATGTGTTAGTGTTTCACAGAAGAACCCCACCGGGCATTTGAGGAAATAATTAGACAATTCTAAATCATTACCCAGACACTCCAATAAAGAAATAAATAACATCACAGACAAGAAAAGAGACCCACAGACAACTATCCCTCATGAATACAAGTTCAACACACAATCAAGAAAGCACTAAGAGATCAAATTCAGCAATACACCACAGTTATAAGGTAGCCCTATCTGGTGAGATTTATCTCATAAACAAGAGTGGCCACTATTTGACTACCAATCACCGCAAAGTACCAAGACAACTGAATAAAGAAAACCCAATCTTAATAGGGTTAGAAAAAGAATTTGATAAATTTAAAGATCTAATCACGATAATAATAATGATAAAAAAAAAAAACCCACCTCCCTGATGAGTAGGAATTTAAAAGAACTTGGCAAACTTGGTGAAGGGCATCTATAGCGCACCTGTGACTGTGATCTCATTTGAGATGAGTGCCTGAGAGATGAGGGACAAGGGAGGGTGGGAGACATCCTGGGTGGCTTTTCTAGTCTGCAAGTCCAGGAAAGTGGGAGGAGGCAAACCGGCAGGGGAGGAGGTGCTTTCTACCTCTGGGTGATGCGACTGTCTACACTGAAAATCCACATCATCTCAGAGAGCTCCTAGGACTCAGGGAGGATAGCAAGATGGCAGCCTGCAAGGTCAAAGCTCAGGAGTCAATTCTGTTTCTAAACATAAGCAATAAGTAATTGGAAATTGAAATTTAAAAATCGGTTCCATTTAGAGAGCTGGGAGACGGCTCAGTTGTTAAAGAACTTGGGTTAAGAGCTCCAGAACCCATATTAAGGGGGTGGGAGGATCTCTAGCCAGCCAGCCTAGCCAAACTAGTGAGCTCCAGGCCGGGGAGAGACCCTGTCTCAAAAACACAAAGTAGACTGTGTGCTGAGGAATGATTCCTAAGGTTGACCTCTGGACTCTACACATATGTGCACACACATGTCACCCCCCTCCCCCATCATACACACACACAGTCAGTCCCATTTAAAGTAGCAATGAAAACATGAAGTAGATATAAAGCTAGCAATGTGTTAGATCTATAATCTGAAAGTTACAAAAGCCACTTAAATGCAAACTCTAAATAAACAGCCTGGGAGAATACT